CTTCCCTTTCTTTCTTTCTTTCTTTCTTTCTTCCCTTTCTTTTTTTCCTGCAGGAGTCTTTAATTCTCAGAGGATGAGAACTGAGTCTTTTCCTCTACATCCTTGAGGCTGGCTCAAGGGCTTTTACATGTCTCAGCTCTCAATAAAGGCTCCCTGGAGGCGGCGGGGGCGGGGGGGGCTTGGGAGAATTTAGGAGGAGAAGAGGAGCTTGAAGACTGAAGTCCAAGAGCAGAGAGAAACTGGGGTGAGGGTCAGGAGTCCTGGGATCTAGCTTTTATTCTTGCATGTAAATCCTTGTGCTTCAGTTCTTGGCCTGTAAACAGGATCATCATAGCTGCCCCATCCACCTCACGGGGCTTTAAGGATCAAACGGCATAATCACTTGTGGATGGAGAATCAACAGCTGTAATTTCAGGTGAATGGTTAGTGTGCGCTCAGGTTGGCTCTGGGGTGCCGTGGGGGCTATAGGGAGTTCATGGGGAGTAGACTACTTTCTCTGGACCCAGGCCCTGAGCTCAGAGCTGGTCCAGGGAAAGGGCAAGGGGCCCAAAGATGCGTGAGACAAGCTCCCACGTCATAGAGCATGGATTAGCCAACTTTTTCTGTAAAGGATCAGAGAGTTAATATTTTAGGTTTTGCAGGCCATGAGGTCTCTGTCAAGATTACTCAACTCTGTTGTAGCATGAAAACAGCCATAGGTAAACAGACGAGTGTGGCTGGGGCCCCAGAAAAGTTTATTTACAAAAACAAGCAGCAGGCTGGATTTGGTCCATAGGCGGTAGCTTGCTGACCTCTGCTGTGTATAGAGCATTTTTGACAAATGTGGGTTTCAAAGCAAAAACAAAACCATGCCTATGAATGCTGGGCATTTGAAATGCTAGTTCTAACTCTGCCCTCTGAAGCACATGTTAAGTGTATCTTCGTGTCACACTTTTTTTCAAGAAACTGCAGAACCTATGCCAAACCTGGGGCAGCCTTACGCCCAGAGCCCTGGAATTTGAGCAAAGAGTTAAGGGTTTCGAGAATGAAACCAGGAAATCTCACCGTTCTTGTGGTGCACCTTGGGGCTTTGCTGTCATAGCTCATTAGCCGGCAGGTGGGCTGTCCAAGATGAGTCAAGTTCAAAAGCATATGAGGTCCCCTTCCCTGTGACTTGGCATGTGGCTGGGTCGTGCATGATGAGTGCTTGCCTGCTGAGAGCCCCCCATGACAAGGCCCGCAGGAGGGGCAACCCAGGACTCTGCTCCACTAGCCCGTCTTTGCTACAAGTGATATCTTCTGGGCCCAGGTAGAACACACTTTCACCATTGGGAAGATGAGGAATTCAGTGCCATGCCTACGTGGCGGTTGGGGCAACTTCCTTCGCTTCCAGATCCCCTCCCAGATTTGAGAGCTGGAGGGGACGTGGAAGGACCCATTTTATGTGAGAATCCATTGCCGTTCTCCCGGCTTCCCTTGCACATGTCTGTCACGTGACCTGCTAGGTCCGCTGACCAGCCATCCTGGTTGCCCGGGGCCGAAGAGTTCCCAGGGATGCTGGACTTTTGGACCTAAAAGCAGGAAAGTCTCAGGCAAACTGGGGTGAATTGGTCACCCTACCTGGCCTCTGCCCTTCGAGGACAGGACAGGATGGGACAGAGGCTTGGACATCAGAAAGTTTGCCTCCACTTTCTGCTGCAACTCAGAAAAAAAGAGATCCCCAGGAGAGCAGTCAGGCAGTCCTCCTATAAGCAGAGGGCTAGAGCTGAACCTTGAAGGGCTGATGAGATTTGTGGCAAAACAGCCACATAGAAGCAGTGTGAACACGAACCTGGAGACCCAAAAGAACAGGGCATGTTTGTGTCTCAAGGACATTTGAAGGGGGCGTGAGGATAGGCCCAGAGATCACTACTCTGTCCTCAGTGTCCCCATGCCCTTCCTCCCATGCTTCCCTCCAGAGTTGTCTGTGGGGAGATCTTAGCCCTGGGCAGAAAGCTCTGGAAATTGCTTTTTATATAACGTTGAAGAACAGAAGATACGCTAACCAGGGGCAGATGCTTAAATGGGGGAGGGTCCTCCCTAGCGGTGGGCAAGGAGGTCTGTGTGGGCCTGCGGTATAGCCCTCCCAGGGACAGCACTGTGTCAAGTCTGGAGGAGACCTCCCTGCCTCTTGGCACAGCATGACCTCTTCTTTCATGCTACATTGTGTCAGTAACAGCAATGCCAGGTTCTGGTGTCTCATTGGTACCGAGGGGAGAGGCTCTGGGCTCCTCAATGCTTGCTTGCTCCCCACAAGGTATGCCAAAGGACACCTAGAGAAAGCCCTCCATGAGGCTGGGGGTGTCATAGCATGCTTTTCCTTCTTCGAAGTGTGCTCTTACTTTGGAGTCTAAAGATATCTATCCAGGGTGCCCCACGCCTGGGGAATGTTGAGTAGAGTTCTGTGGGTCCTGAGGGAGACCCCTTCCTTCCATTTGCTCCTGGCTCCAGAATGACGGCCAAGGCTGGGGCTGTGAAGTGGAAGGGGGTACATTCTGATTTACCCAGTTTTCATGGATTCCTCCATTTTTTTTTTTTATAGATTTTATTTATTTATTTGACAGAGAGAGAGAGACAGCGAGAGCAGGAACACAAGCAGGGGGAGCAGGAGAGGGAGAGCAGGCTTCCCGCTGAGCAGGGAGCCCGATGTGGGACTCGATCCCAGGACCCCGGCATCATGACCTGAGCCGAAGTCAGACGCTTAATGACTGAGCCACCCAGGCACCCTGGATTCCTCCTCCATTTTTATCGGATGCCTGCTCAGTACCTTTATTTTATTGTTTTTAAAGATTTATTTATTTATTTTAGAGAGAGAGCGAGAGCGAGCACAAGCAGGAGGGGCAGAGGGAGAGGGAGAGAGAATCTCAAGCAGACTCTGCACTGACGACCCTGAGATCATGACCTGAGCTGAAACCAAGAGTCGGAATCTTAACCAACTGAGCCCCTCAGCCCCTCAGTACCTTTACTGGGAGACCGTGGGTCAGAGAGGCACTCAGCTCCAACGGTCCAGGCTGCTCCGAGTGCCCACAGCGCCTCTGTCCAGGCCCTTCTTTCCCTTCCTCTTTGCTGACCCTCACACCTTGCAGAGAGGCAGAGCAGTGGGGAGTCCCACTTTACAGACCTCCAATTTCCAGTTGAGGAGACTGAGGGGCAGAGTGGAACCCCTGGGAGTAATGGCCCTCAGTCTGAGCCTGAGTCCTAGAGACTCAGAAACAAGGCGGGGTTGGCATGGTGGTCTTGGACTATTCCAGCTGGAATGATCAATGAACAGCCAAGAACGAAGATATTTAACTTTCTTGTCCCTTCTCTGTGCCTCTGCTCTCACGGTTGCCCTTGCTGGGAATGCCTCCCATCCCCACCTGCCTGAATCTCTCCCATTCTTCAAGGAGAGCCCAGCATAAGGCCCTGCTCATTCTGGAAGTTTTGGTGATAGCTCCTCTCCCCTCCCCACTCCTGTCACCCCCTCTGTACCTCCCCTGCTGACTGGTTAGTGCCCCTCAGGGCCTCCCAGCACACCTGCTCTTTGTGTGTCCACGCCGTGGGGCTGTGAGCACATGGAGGAGGGGCACACCACCTGAGTGGTCCCCTGGCATGTTCCCTGTGGCCAGGATAGGCTCAGCACTGCACAGATGAGCTTGTTCTGGGGGCTTGAGAAGGACTTCACCCGCTAACATGTGGCCTCTTCTTCCTGACCTCTGCAGCAAAACCTGGTGTGGGCGCTGATGATCGCCATCCCTCTGGTCACCAGCCTCTACCTCCGGGTCAACATCAGTTACCTGCTAGTGTTGTCACCCAATGAGATCCTTTCCTCTGATGCTATGGCTGTGAGCTGGGGGTGAGTGAGTCAAGTGACGTGTTCCTTGGCCACCGGGCAGACAATCCAGGGTGGGGAAGGATCGTGCCCCACGTGTATTTCAACTTGCCTCTAGACGTTTTGCTTGCTCTGTTTCCTGGTGGTTGGCCTCCAGTTTGCTGCTGGAGTTCCTTCCCTTGATTCCTGTGTTGTCCTAGGAACCAGGTGCTGGGAGCCTGGGCCTGGCTGGTACCCTTGGCTGTCACACTCTCGACATTTGGCTCTGTCAATGGGACGTTCTTCGGCGGAAGCCGTGTGTGCTATGTGGCTGCAAGAGAGGGCCACATGGTGAGAGATGGGGTCCAGGCTGGGCAAGGTCGGGGGGCCTGCAGGAGGGCATTGGAAGGACTGCAGAGGTTAAGCTTTCTCCTGCTTGAGCTTAGCTCTGAGCCCAAGCCGGGCCTGCCGCCTACAAGACAGAGCCCTGTTCTTTCTAAGAGTGGGCTTAAAGCATCCCACACCTCTCCATTTAAACCTCAGTCCTTTGACTTCCGGGTTTTGGGAGATCACCATGCTGGGTCACACTGTGGAGCTTGTAGGGGATGGGGATGTTTGTGCAGTCCAGGGGTGTGGGGGCAGCGGGCGAAGCCAAAGGAGCAGAGCCAGTGCGTATGCTCAGGGCCCTCCCCCCAGGGACTCTCTCCCTCTGGTAGTTTTTGCAGCAATGGTGCTGAATAACACAGCTCCCAGATCTTAGGGTCTTACAACAGCAAACATTTCATGTTTGTCAGTCCCTGGGTCTACCGTGGCTCTGCTTCAGGCTGGGGTTTGGGTTCAGATTTCCTCTTTCAGGACTGTGAGTCTGTTCTTGTCTCAGGGACCCAAGCCAAAGCATGTTTTTGCCTAGAGCAGGTGGCAGGGGTTCAAGAGAGCAAGCCAAACCACACAAGCGTATTTTGAGCTTCTGCTGTATTACTCGTGTTCACTGGCAAGCCCAGCATCAGTGGATGGGGAACTAGACAGTATTTCTCCCATAGAGGTGAGAGAGGGAGACTGATTATTTGCTGAGTAATAATACAGTCTACCACGATAACCCACACTCCCACTCCATGCTCTGTCCGTAACTGTCCTACCCTCTCCTCCCCGCTCCTCTGTCTTCCCACCCTTGGTCCCTCTTCCTGTGTTGGGGATGAGCAGTACAAAGTTGAACGATCTGGCCAGGCACCTGCTTCAGCTTCTACACTCCAGCCCACATCCTAAGCTATCTGGGTCTTGGCTGGCCTGGAGGGATAGCCTCCCCGTGCTGACTGCACATTGGGCCTGGTTTCACCCCACGTGAGCCACAGAGACCTACATCTGGAAGTGCTGGAGACTGGGGGCTCTTAGGTTGGGCCCACCTGAGTCCAGAGTGAGTTTGGCAGGGGAAGAGGACTGGGAGCTTCCCAGCCACCTGCTGTGGCTCCCTCGGGGGGCTGCCTGGCGACACCCGACTTTGCTCCCAGCCCCAACTTCTGTCCATGGTTGATGTGCATCGCCTCACACCAGCTGCGGCCCTGATATTTACCACCGCAGGGGCGCTGGTCCTGGTCCTCCCAGGAAACTGCAGCACCATCGTGAACTTCTTGAAGCAAGTGAAACTGTCTTCCCATTTTGGGTATCTCAAGGCGCCTTTGTGTGCACACTTGCGTGCACTCATACGTGTGCACACTCACGCACATGCGTGTGCATCTATACGCGTAGGTGCGCGCATGCTTCTGGGACCCTGAGCTCAGGGCTCCCGCACGTGCACACACATTTCAGCCATTCCCTCCCAATTATATTTCCAAAGTTAAATGTGTCTCCCTCCCCCCTTGCCCTGTTTCCCAAAATTCAATGAGGGAGATGTTTCACCAAGAGGCAGACAAACGAAAGGCTTGTATTGTCTTTGTCATTTTTTATTCTTCCTTGTTCCTTTTTTCTGTCCCCGAGATCAGGCTTTACTCCCCACTGCTTGTAGTTCTTGGCTGTGCTGTGATTTTCCCTTTGTCATCTGATCTGCGCTCAGGACTCTGACCCAGCGTATCTCCAGTGAACTCAAGGCAGACCCGCAACCAAGCTGGGCAGGTATAATCAGTGATTGGATCAAAGTGGGGAGATGTTCTGACCCCCTTTATTACCTTCCCTGGGGCAGAAATGATGGGCTGTTGTGCTATCCCACCATCATTTTTTTTTTTTAAGATTTTATTTATTTATTTGACAGAGAGACACAGCGAAGAGAGGGAACACAAGCAGGGGGGGAGTGGGAGAGGGAGAAGAGGGAGGAGCAGGGTTCCCGCCGAGCAGGGAGCCCGACGCGGGGCTCGACCCCAGGACCCCGGGATCATGACCTGAGCCGAAGGCAGACGCTTAACGACTGAGCCACCCAGGCGCCCCATAGCCAGCCATAATTTTATGACCTCATCTGAAGCAGGGTCAGTGGGTGTGTCCTCACACAGGCGAGCGAACGCAGGGTCTGGGTGTAACAGGGATTTCTCAGAGTAATTTTTCACGTATCGTGTGCTCTCTTCCTTGTTGTCATAAGTATAATTAATCTTCTGGAACAGGATATACAGTGCTTGATGTGACTTTCTTCAGAACATTAAGTAACAGACCTGGTTTTTTCTTTTTATCTTCTTCCCATGAGAAAAGATAAAATCTTTATACCGTGAGAATAAAATCAAGCTCATGGTGAACCCAGGTTTTCTTTAGACTGAGATTTGGGGGAAATGACTGAGAATGTTCCGGCACAGAGTTGAGAGTGTTAGGATGATCCATCCCAACGAGGACACGCTGTCGCCCCATCTTGACAGCTTCAAGAGACGGCCTGGTCTGGATCCTGTCGCCAAGGTCAGACGAGGTTTTCATCAGACCTACGTCAGCCACTCAACTACCCACAGTGGGGAAGGCAGAGGCCAGGGCCTTGTCTGGGTGCTCAACAGCCTACCCTGTCACCAGTTCTAAGGTAGGAGGATCCGCTAGGAGTGTGCTGGCCCCTGAGGAGAGCACAGACTTCCTTGAAATTCCACCAAACTCTTTTTTTTTTTTGGACACACAGGTGTTCCTCCCTCCCTTTGCAAACTGTCCTCGTCTGTCCAGCCAGGGGCAGTCAAAGAAGGCCCGACCCGAAGCCAGGTGGGGGCCTGGGCTTGTATATGTGTCACTTTGTGATTGAAGATGAAAGAGGCAGGAATACCCTCCAGTGCATTCTTGTCCTTGGTGCCCTAGCCTTGCCTTCTTTCCTTAGCCTGCTTGGACCAGGGGCCTGGGGGTGCCTGAAAGGCCCCTGATGAGCTTGCACTTCTGTCCCCGGTTTGCACCTACTAGGCCAGCCCCTCGTGCGGGCCCACGCAGGGCAGGGCCTCGTAGTGAGTGGCTTCTGTTTGCCTTTCAGCTTTCTTGGCTGGATCACCTATGGAACCACCATTGGCTGTCTCCTGTACTTGCGGATAAAGAAGAAGAATCTTCCTCGACCTTACAAGGTAGACTTTGGAATAAACACTGGGCTTTTTTCAACCCTAGACTGTTGCATGAGGCAGTCCACAGACTCATCTGGGGGCTAGAGAAGGAATGTGAGAGGTGGCCACTGTCACATTTGGTAGAAAATTTCTGTATTTCCTGGGGGGCGGGGAGGGAGCGCTGGATCACAGGGCATTGATTCTGCTTGCTGGGGACTCATTTCTCCTGGAGCACTCTGAGGGAGAACAACAGGAGACACACGCCGAGGGGAGGCTCACACACAGCAGGACTCACAAAGCATAGAGAAGATCAAGCTGGGTCCCAAAGCCCCGACTCCTTGGATGGCCCCCTGTAACCTGGCAGGTGGCTTCTGTGGCTGGGCAAGGCATGTGGCAGGGACTGGAGATGGAGAGCTGGTGGCAGGTGGACACAGGCAGGCAGGCAGGAGGGACAGGGCCCAGGGGCCATACACCACGTCCCGTGCCTCTCCATCACCCAGGTCTCTGTGTCCATGGCAGGTCCCCACCCACATCCCTGTCATCATGCTCCTTGCTTCTCTGTACCTGGTGCTGGCACCCGTCATCGACCACCCCCAGGTTGAGTTCCTGTACATCTTCCTGTTCCTGTTCAGTGGCATCCCGGTCTATTTCCTGCTTGTCTACTTCCAGTGCCAGCCCGAGTGGTTGCAGATGGCCATCCTGTATCTCCAGCTGCTCCTGGAAGTTGCTCCAACCATGAGAAATGTTGACTAAAGGACTGGACAGGTGTGCACTGCCCTCCTCGCTGCAGACACCTTTATCCCCACACCAGTGGTCTTGCCAACTTTTCTGCAGGTTGGCTATGCATAATCCCAATAAGTGACTGGAATGCTAAATCCAGCTATTGTGAAGGTCTGGGGGGCATCCAACCAGGACAGCAGCCCCGTTTCTCTAAGAACTGCACCTCCAGTGCAGGTGGATCTCACAGCCACCTTGGTATTACATGGCTGCCTCTCTGGGGATAGCCACTTGATATTCCAGGCGGGCAGCAATGAAATATGTTCCCTTCTTTGGGGATTTTGGAGTTAGAATTCTGATGATTGCCTAATCTGAGGAGCAATAAATTCTGGGATCTATGTGGGACCATCTTCCATTATGTGGGCAGAGTAGAGAAAGCCCCTGTAGAGAGAGGAATGAACATACACGGTGAAATGGTGTTGAGAAATTATATGGTCCTCAAGAACTGGGGGAATGACCTGAGCAGGCTGCAGTCTTGACCCTGGCTGTTTTTCAGTTCTGGTCTCCGTCCTTCCATGGCCCAACTGCCATCTGACTCTCCTTCCTGTTTTTTTGTTGTCTAGGACAACGTGATACCTTATAATAAATTTCCAATTTTGGCTCAGGTGAGTTTGAGTGAGTTCTTCTTTCTTGCAAATGGAAAACCTCTGGGTCTGACAAAACTTCTTCAGGAAGACGTGAGACTTTAGTTCCTATTTAAAGCCTCCAAATGGCTTGAACACAGAAAGAAGCAAGAGAAAGATCCCTGGGAGGGAGGGATTTTTATTGGCTTTGGGTGAAAGGGAGGACAGTCACATTTCTAGAAGAAAGGATGAAAAGTTAGAACAGACCTCAGAAGGCTAATGTGGTTGTAGGACTAAAGAGAGGCAAGGGGGCAGAAATATCTGGCTGCCCAGGTGCAAATGTGGGACAGAAAGGATGACAACAGTGCCTGGAAAGCCTGGGGTGCGGCTTCTGAGTCCATCAGGGAGTGCACTCAGAAAAGGAGGGGCAGGGATACTGCTCAGCACCTCTCCTCCTGCAGCTGCACCGAGACTCCTGTGTATGGCTTTTTTTTTTTTTTTTTTTAATTTACTTTTGAGAGAGAGAGAATGACAGAGAGAGAGAGAATGAGAGGGGGGAGGGTCAGAGGGAGAAGCAGACTCCCCGCTGAGCAGGGACCCTGATGCGAGACTCGATCCCGGGACTCCAGGATCATGACCTGAGCCGAAGGCAGTCGCTTAACCGACTGAGCCACCCAGGCGCCCTGTATGGCTTTCCTTTTATCGCCTAGATATGGAAAAGGCTCCCGCAAGCTCTTTCTGTTAAGTTTTCTTCTCCCATCAACCAATTCTCCATTTTTCCAACACCAGCTGGGTGTCCAGTGATTCCGTTCAATTCTAACACTGTCTGAGTTAATGCAGACCCCCAAAGCTAAAGAGCTTAGGCACCAGGGGCAGACAGCAGTCTCAACTCTTGGGTCCCCCAATCACCCATGCTTCTGCCCTACTTGGTTAAGCCCCTCCCTTCATGGTCAGTCACTTGCTAGAATGACTCAGGACTCTGGAAAACACTTTATTTACTATTATCAGTTAATTACAAAGGATTCAACTCAGGAGGAGCCCAGTGGAAGAGATGCATAGGGCAGGCACAGGGGCAGGGGTGCAGAACTTCCACGCTATGCTTTCTTTGGATACATCACCCCCCGGGCACCTTGATATGTTCACCAACCTGGAAACTCCCTGAAATCTGTCTTTTAGAGGTTTTTATGGAAGTTCCATTTATGTAGGTGGATCAGTCATTGGCCAGTGGTGATTGAATTCAATCTCCAGCCCCTTGGCCTTCCTCAGAGGTCAGGGCTGGGGTGGGGCTGAAAGTTCCAACCTGCTCATCTGTCTTGGACTTTCTGGAAACCAGCCCCCATCCAGAAGCTATGGGACGGGTGTTGAGGGGTGAAGACCAGCCGTCAGTCATTTCATTAGCATATAAAAGACACATCACTCCAGGGATTCCAATACTTTGGGAGCTGTGGGCAAGGAACTGGGGAAAAAAAGACCTAATATTTATTTTTTGTTATACCATCCTTCTGAACTGTGAACTTTTTAAAAAAATTTTATTATGTTATGTTAGTCACCATACAATATATCATTAGTTTTTGATGCGGTGATCCACGATCCATTGTTTTCGTACAACACCCAGTGCTCCATGCAATACGTGCCCTCTTTAATACCCATCAACGGGCCAACCCATCCCCCCACCTCCCTCCCCTCTAAAACTCTGTCTGTTTCTCAGAGTCCACAGTCTCCCATGGTTCATCTCTCCCTCCGATTTCCCTCCCTTCATCCCTCCCTTCCTTCTCCTAATGTCCTCCATGCTTTTTATGTTCCACAAATAAGTGAAACCATATGATAATTGACTTTCTCTGCTTGATTTATTTCACTTCGCATAATCTCCTCCAGTCCCATCCATGTTGATGTAAAAGTTGGGTATTCATCCTTTCTGATGGCTGAGTAATATTCCATTGTATATATGGACCACATCTTTTTTTAAATAATTTTTTATTGTTATGTTAATCACCATACATTACATCATTAGTTTTTGATGGACCACAGCTTCTTTATCCATTCGTCTGTTGAAGGGCATCTCGGCTCTTTCCACAGTTTGGTTATTGTGGACATTGCTGCTATGAACATTGGGGTGCATATGGCCCTTCTTTTCACTACATCTGTGTCTTTGGGGTAAATACCCAGTAGTGCAATTGCTGGGTCATAGGGTAGTTCTATTTTTAATTTTTTGAGGAACCTCCACACTGTTTTCCAAAGTGGCTGTACCAACTTGCATTCCAACCAACAGTGTAAGAGGGTTCCCCTTTCTCCACAACCTCTCCAACATTTGCTGTTTCTTTCCCTGTCCATTTTTGCCATTCTAACTGGTGTAAGGTGGTATCTCAATGTGGTTTTTTTTTTTTAAAGATGTTATTTATTTATTTATTTATTTGAGAGAGCGAGAATGAGAGAGAGCGAGAGCACATGAGAGGGGGGAGGGTCAGAGGGAGAAGCAGACTCCCTGCTGAGCAGGGAGCCCCATGCGGGACTCGATCCCAGGACTCCAGGATCATGACCTGAGCTGAAGGCAGTCGCTTAACCGACTGAGCCACCCAGGCACCATCAATGTGGTTTTGATTTGAATTTCCTTGATGGCCAATGATGATGAACATTTTTTCATGTGTCTGTTAGCCATTTGTATGCCTTCTTCAGAGAAGTGTCTTTTCATATCTTCTGCCCATTTTTTGACTTGATTATTTGTTTTTTGGGTGTTGAGTTTGAGAATGAACTGTGAACTCTTTATCAGTGCTGTTCCTGAGGACACATTGCCTGTGAAATTCTAGGAGAATCTTCATATCCCTTTCCCCAGCAGCACAGCCTAGCTTAGAGGAAAGAAAATTATAAGAGGCTGGGTCTATCCAGTTCCTTGTCAAAGGAGACCATGGATCAGGCTGAAAGTCCCCGGGGAAAGCTCTGAACACCTGGGGGAGGAATTTGTCCTTTCCTCTTCTGGGTCCCACCAAACTGTGCCCTTGTCTCTCGTGAGCCTCACCGGGCCATGTACCCTAGTGCTTGGTTGCGTGTCATGCGCCCCCTCATGGGCTGTGGGTTTGGGGAGGGTGGGTTGTTCTTAGACATGCTTGTACATCCCTCATTTCCTCTCATGCTCCTGGGCTCCTTGCTGACCAATAATGTTTGGTGAATCAAAATAATGAAATACTTGTTGAACCATGAGGGAATGCATCACATTTATATTTTTTAGGATTTGCATGCATGGCTGTCTTCCCCATAGTGCCTGCTCTGCCCTGGGCTCCCAGGCCCTGTCCTGAGAAGGTTCTCTAAGGAGGAGGGACATCTCCCAAGTCTTGAGCAGTCACATCCAGCTGCCAGTGGATGTATACCTAGAGGTGGAAAACAGAGAGGGGAGCTGAAGTACCCCAGGCTTGGCCTTGCATCATGCACTCCAGTTAGGCTATGTCTCAGTCTGTGACTAGGTCTTTTCATCCTTCCCACAACCAACTGCCTTTTGGCTCACCATCCTTTTGTGATGGTGCAAAGGGTCCTCCAGGCCAGGCTCGGGGAGGGCAGCTTCTTGCTCCTTGCAATTTCCCAGGACATCTTCCCTGAGCTCCTGTTCTGCCCCAGACCCCTTCCTGGGCTCCAGAGTAGTAGTTGGGAGTGATCCTAGATGGAAATCTGAGATTTCTTAAGAAATTAGTATACTGGACTTCCTTCCTCTGAGTCAAGAGCACGATTTCTATTGTTACTTATCGTCTATAATCAGAGATGACATAGTGTCATGATGCTGGTCTTTGGATTGGAGAAAAAACGTTCTGAGTCTTGGGGACCAGGGTCAGAATCCTCATTGTTCCTTCTAGAGAAGCAATAAGTTCCAGGAAATGTGTGGGGAAGGTGTTGGCTGGGTTCCTGGGGGCAGGTCAGTGTTCTTTAACCCTAGGTCCACCCAACAGCATCTGGATGTTTCTGTTTGGGGCAGAGCCTGGCTACTCCCAGTCATAAGCACTTAAGTCTTTGGACTTCCTTTTGACCATTTACAATGTCTTCTGCTGAATACTTAGAATGGGGGAAACTGAGTCTCAAATTAATACATACAAATGAATGTCATGGTTAAATTTTCAAACACTACAAAGGGTACAAAGTAAAAGCCAACATTTCTTACTCCACACTCTCCATTTCCAGTGCAGTCAGTTTCCTTGTTACTTCCAGAAAGCTTCTGCACATGCACGTAAACCATGGTAGAGTCCACTGCTGCTTTGCTCATTAGAGTAATCACGACCTCTTCAGTTCTACCTGTCGAGGAGAAGCAGTTCTTTTTCCTTATCTCTGTCCCCAGACCAGGGTTCTGAGTCCCCTACTGTGGGTGGTCATACATACTGTTCATTATCCTTTAGCTCTCCTTCTGACCACATGGTAGGATTGCAGTTCCTGTCC